GAAACTATCAGTAATATTTCGCTTTGGTGAAACCTGTCATGTTTTCTTTATGCCCTAATATATGATCACTTTCAGGAATGTTCGTACATACTTAGAAAGAAGGCACTCTACATTATCAGAGAGTAGTGTCTGGCATATATACAAAGGAGCCTAAGACCAAGGGGGCACAACCCGCCCCCACAATCACTGCGCATCCTCGGTTTTGTTCCACTATTCGAGGTTATATACACTTTTACATGGCCAAGAGACCCCACTGCTATCACATGCTATCAGTCACCCCTCAACTGCACTCAGATGTTGCTCTGTTGTCAGATCAAAGGCAGAGTTCTCACCTCTTTTCAATGACCTACAATTTGAATTTTCCTGTAGTCACTGACATCCTAAGCCTGGCCAGTGTGCAATCTTAACCCTGATTGGCAAAGTCCATATCGCAAAACACCTGGCACTCTGGTGCAGGCTCAGTGCCACCATGCAGCTCCAGCCCCGCATCTAAGAGAAGGTCACCGTTGCCACCATCTTGCCTGGCTGACCTTTGACCTAGATTGCCAACACATGCACAATCTTTTTACCTTTTAATAGGCACCCCTTGACTCTCATTACATATACAGTGACATATAATCTCATTCTATTTTCTCCTCTTTCTTTCCATTTTAAATTATGTTCTTTCTACTATTTTTTATAACAGATAATGTTTATATATTATTCTCATACCCATAAACCCACCCTTGTTTTAGCTTTGACTCTACAGTTAAATATAGAAAATACCATCAGTCCTTTCACCAAAGTTTCCTCAATCACCTTTGTTGGATGAAGCTTATCCTCTAGTATAAGAATAGGCAAGCTTTTTCAGTAATGTGCCTGATAGTAAATATTTTAAGCTTTGTGAGAATCCATTGAAATTAGTCAGCTGTTTGTAGTACAAAGCAGCCGTAGACAGTACATAAATTATTGGATGTGGCTACATGCCAACAAAATTTTATTTACAAAAATGGACGACAGGCTGGTTTGGTTTCATGCCCAGTTTCCTGACCCTTGCTGTGATGGTTAATTTTACATGTTGACTTGACTGGATCACCAGGGCCCCAGATATTTGGCTAAACATTATTTCTAGGTGTTTCCACATGAAATTAGCATTCGAAGCAACACACCCAGTAAAGCAGTGTGCCCTCCCCAAGGCAGGTGAGCATCATCCAATCTGCTGAGGGTCTGATTAGAACAAAAAGGTGGAAAACGGGAGAATTCCCCACTTCCTGCCTGGTTGCTTGAGCTGAGCCATTGATCTCCTCCTGCCCAAGGCACTCATGGATCTGTCCTTCGACCTCAGGCTAAATCACACCACTGGCTTTCCAGCTTGTGAACAGCAGATAATCGGACCTCACATAACACAGCCTCCATAACTGTGTGAGCCAATGCCTTACAATAAATCTCTTCCTATAGATCTACCCTGTTGGTTCTGTGTCTCTGGAGAACCTTGCCTTAATAGCTTCTTTAGGAAGAGCACCTGTGTATAGCAGTCCGCACACGAGTCTCGCACACTCAGGACTGTTGATCGATAGCCTTGGTACTTAAAGAATAGCTTGGCTGAATACTTTCCCTGGTTCATACTTTCTTTCCTTAAGTTTCTTGAGATTACTGTTCTACTATTGCCACTGAGATTATTTCATCTTTTTGCCTGAAGACCCTGAAAATTTCTTCTTTATCTTTAAAGTCTAATCATGTTACTAGA